GGAGTTCTGTTGCCCTGCCTCCCCTCGCCTTGCCTTGTCCCTGGTTTCCCATGTCCCGACCCTGGATTCAGACACCTCTTAAAATGATGATGCTGACTAAAAAGTGATATTCAGGACGTATTTCCTGACCATGAATCACATCTCATTCTTCTTGACTAACTAAAAGTATTAGTAGTAGCAGCAGCAGCAGTAGTACTTTCAGTTCTGTACTGCCCCAGAGTCCTCTGAAGTTCCTTTCCTGCATATCCTTCAGTCCTCTAAAAAAAGTGTTTGTTCTCTCAGATTCATTCATTCTATGCAGAAGCTTCAGTTTTATTTATTCATTTAAATATTATTCTTGCACTTCTATGGGCAACCCAGGGCACAGAATGGATCACAGGGATACCTTTGTACCTCACGTGAATGTCACCTGGCTGGATAAGAGGCTCTTTGGAAGGAACTGCACCCCTCATAAGGATTCTGAATTCTGGTGTTCACAATGGCAGGGGAGAAGTTGCATCATCTTCTTCCTGAAAGGGCCACTTCACTCTGCCTAATGCTAGGGCCAGTCCTGCTTGCTGAATTCACCAATGATGAAATATAACGAAGCATATCTCAGGGACAGCCAGTGTGGTGCAGTGGTCAAGGGTGCTGGACAGAGATTCAGGAGATCTGGGTCCAAGTCCCCACTCAGTCATGAAGACCAGCTGGTGACTTTGGGCCAGTCATAACCTTTTACCCCAGCCTACCATTGTGGTAATGATAGAATGGCAAGGGGAACCATGCAAGGCACTTCAGATTCCTTGCAGGAGGAAGTAAGGTAGGATATAAATGCAGTGTGATGGTAGTGGTGAATACCTTCTTAATAAATCGCAGTAATATTTCAGCTTGTTTTCCTAGGCTGAAAAAAAACACACACACACACACACACCTGAACAAAAAGAAATAAGAAATGGTGCTGCACAATTTATTTGGGAAATGCTTCTGAAGTTTTCCAGTACTCACGGTTCTTCAAAAGATCTGATCTACAAAGCACAGCACTGCTGTACAATTGAAAAGGATTAAAAATGGCTGGTGGGCAAGAAAAGAAATGATTTTCTTAAAAGTAACAGTATAATATGCAGCAATGTAACAACTGGGTAGAATTGTGAGGGCAAGTCAAGATTCACTTTAATTTTACCTCAGAAGTCTTTGAAGGCTGTACAGTTCCGAAACTGGCTAAATGTAGAGATGAAGCAGAAGGGAAGGCCCCTAATATATTCAAATTGATCGGAACGGATTAGTCTTCCAGCTGATTAAAGGCTCATACATTTCAGCATGGCAAACTGGAAGGCAAAAATGCTATAGGCAGTCTCTAACTATGCCTTTAAAGCTAGCTGAGTTATTCATTGTGAACTTCTTGAACAGATGAATCCCAACTCTGGCTTTACTCATCAGTCATTCTATCAATGAAGAATGAAACTGGGCCAGCTTTGGGTCTGCAACATAGGAATGCCAAGGAAGAAAGGGGGTAACCCAGGGCTTCTTTGCTAATGTGTCAAGTTTTGGTGATGAATAAGTAGTGTTGGCACAAGATGCCATGATGGTTACTGACTCTTGATAACTTTAAAAACTGAGGCCATGGGAACGGTGTCCCTCAGGATGTTGTTTCACCAGCTCCCATCAGTCTTGATTATTGGCCAAGCTGGCCTGGGCTGTTGGGAGTTTCCTCAGGCTAAGGAAATTCATGGAGAACAGGTAAATAGTGATTAGGCATGGAGCTTCTGAACAAAACCTTCCTGTATGGAGGGAGTGTGCCTTTCATTCCAGACGCTGGCCATAGATGAAAGGGAATAATTGCCACTAACCTGTTCTGCTTCTCAGATACTCTCACATATCTGTCTTGCCACTGTAGACCTGTCTCTGCACCCTTACCCCCAGAAGAAAAGCTGCACCACAGTTCATATGATCTTCTAGTCCTCTCCTTTGATGACTTGAAGACCAAGAAGCTCAGTTTTCTGTTTAAAGAAAATACAGAGCCCTGAGGAAAATTGGTTGCTAATAATTAGGAAAGCCTGATGGAGCATCCACAGTCTACGCATCCTTATCTTATGGAAACCAGCTGTCTCCCCCACTGCATTTGCGTCTTTACTTTTGTCACCCTACCTACCTTCTCCTTCACTCAACCTCTGCAAACATATCAGCTTCAAAGCTTTCGCAAAGGATGGCATAGAAATGCCTTAAGTAAATAAGTAAATCAAATGTACAACCAGAGCAGCTTCATGCAAAATGAGCCTTTTTCCATTCACCATACAGATAGGTAAGATGGATTTACAGGGGAAGGGGAAACTGGTTGTGAAACTACCTTATATGCTAGACTCATCCAATTTGGGATAGGGCCTCTGACTTGCACAAGCCCCCCATCATCTCAAGGGCTGGTTTTGTGCATCACCATCTACAGTAAGGATGCTAAGGACTGGATACCTTATATTTTAGACAAAGATGCCAAGGATAGGCACTTGGATCTCCTGAATGCAAAACATGAACTGTAGCACCGGCATATCATCCCATTCTCTTCAATAGGTTTTAAATTGTCCTTAAATTGTTTTAAATTCCAACCACAGTGACCAAAGATTGCTCTGATAGACTCACAAGTTCTTGGAAGTACACTTGATGCTGTACAGGAATAAGGCATGTCGCCCTCTCTTCAGTGAAATATCTCCTGTGCACAATGCCATTGACTCTGAAGAGAATGTTCACCCCAGAAGTCTACAAAGATTTATGCTGCATGTACATGTTTGTGTACACTGGGTGGTTTGTTTGTTTGTTTGTTTGTTTATATGAAACCATGCATATGTACAGGCATAGTGCCATCCCTAGGTACATACTATAAGAGGAATGAGATTCAATCCAATCCATACAATTGATATGGCAATTTGAGGAGAAACATTTCATGAAATGAGTTCCCACCCCAACTTTGCCTTGCCAAGTCCCACAGAACTCAACAAGGCTAACTTCTGATTAGACATGCGTAGGACAGCTCTGTTAATCTCTGATTCCCCCTCCCCTGTAGCACACAGAAATTCAGCATGACTCTGCCTTTAAGCTCTAGAGTCTCATTTCATAGAAAACATGTTTGGTGGTTTTATTTGTTCTGCCATCTCACTCAGAAAGCCAACAACCTATTTTGGAGATAAAATGGCCTACTTAATTTCCATTTTGCTCCAACATTAATGACTTTAAACCACCCAGTTCAGTGGAAGTGGGATGGCTTTGAAACAAGCATTGGGATTTCAATTCAGACCTAATTTCATGAATTAGGTGCTTGCTTGTAAACCTAATAAGTGAATGGGACAACCATGAATTTGGAACACACCTCTGTCCTCTTGTGCACTCATCAGAGAGCCAGAAGATGGTGCAGCTCTCTGTTAAGTGGAAAATGATTTGCAAACCTAGATTTGCTGCCACATAATCACATGCAGTATTTAAAACAGGCCTTACTTGTTTGTTTTGGAGGTAGAGAATAAATGCATGTCCACAGTGGTATTGTAGCTTCATATGTGTGGCTATAAATTCAATCTGCTTCATGAATTTCTACACTATTAGATAAAATTCCAGAATATTTTAGGAGGCAAGACATATTAGACAATACTCGGAATCATGCTTGAAATCTCATTTGCATTAAACTAAAAGGGCTAGTTCAGCTAAGGAACTGGACAAATTTAGATATTGTATTCCATTTTTTCTTTCATATTAGCCTCCAAGGACTGACTTGATTTTTGTTTTCAGAAAAACAGTTTCACACCTCAATATATAAATTGCAAGAAAATGGGGGAGCCTACAACTGGTACTGGACTGGAATTTGAAATATTAATTATTGCTGAAGAGAAAACAGGAGGGGCTCTGTGTGTCTCAGTTAAAATATTTTCCTTGGGCAACTGTTGTTTGGAGTCAGGGTAGGCCTGTTTGCCCCTTACAGTTCTGCATTCTTTCCCCAATTCCTTATGCAGGGAAGTGGGGTAGGCAGGATGATCACCATGTCAGGAGGCCTTTAACTCTTTGTGGTTACTGTGGACCAAACTGTGACCCCACCCCATCCTTCTATTTTGGGGTGGGGTCACATTCTTGAATGTTTGAACACATTCTTCAATATGTTGCAGAAAAGAGACAAAGGGAAGATATTCCAGTCTGCACTCCTCAGTCAATGGTGCTGATTAGGTGCCCCCCCTTAGGTGGGAGATCAGAAGGCTAAACACCCAGGAGAGGAGAGGAGAGGAGAGGAGAGGAGAGGAGAGGAGAGGAGAGGAGAGGAGCATTTCTTTCATTCTTTCCATTTAGAAAATTCACACATTTAGAAGTTTAGCCTTGCCTTTGACCTGACAACAATGACAGAACTCTTTGTTTGATAAGATTGAGCCTAACACTGGAATCAATAAAATGCTACTCACTTTTCATGAATTCTGTACAAATGTTGTATGCTTTTGGTCCCTTTCCTTTTCCTTTTCACTCACATTTGATTGTTGGCCTGCATAAAACATACCAATACTCTGTTTAGAATTCACAAGGGAAATCAGTGTTAGCTAATTAATGCAAGAGCAGGTATGCCATGAGTGAAAGTTCTTCTTCTTTTAGCATATGTGGGTGCCCTTAAGTCCTAGCGGACATGATCTGCCCTGGCTGAGGCTTTTTCTAGCTTTCATGCCATGGTGACTGGAGTGCTGGTGGGCACATGTCTCACTGGATATGATTTGGACATGTTAAGGATGATAGGGATCTGGACCTTCTCCTAGGGCTCTGTAGGCATCCACTGTAATCTCCATGACCTTAGTTACCCTATTTGGAGATGTTGGTCTTCCTGAGCTGACAATAATGTAGCTACCTAAAAGTCCCTTGATCTTTCCCCCCAAAATATAACATTTAAAAATGTGGCTTTCTATGAACAGGAAGGAAGGAAATTAATGAAAGGTTCAACTGAATTTCTTTCAATGTACTGCTTTTGACTTCTGACATGATGCAAAACTAAGTTTTCTGTGACTGCCTAGGTACATCAGTCGTGCAAGTTACAGCCACAGATGCAGATGACCCTTCCTATGGAAACAGTGCCAGAATTATCTACAGCATACTCCAAGGCCAACCATATTTCTCTGTGGAGCCAGAAACAGGTAGGAGATAAGGTTTTTGCTTTTTTCCATTTTGAAAAGGATTTGTACCTTGTTTCAGAGAACTTAATGAAGCAGGATAACCACAATTGCTCCTCAGCTGCCTGCCATTTCCCATAACTTAAAACAAAACCCTGATGCACAAGAAATTCAAAAGGACCATCTAATTAAGCATAAATGTGTGGGGATTTGACTAAACTTTGTACTTGGAAAACAGAAGGCAAACGGCAGCATTGGGTGGAGGGGGATAAGGTGCAAATTAAGAGTTCTTCCACATGTTATGGAAAAGGAAATGGTTGATTTCTGCGTGGTACCACTTCATTAGGGATGTTTCCATTTGGAGGGATCATAGCACCAACATTCAAAAGACATTGTTCAGCAATTCTTTTCTTTCTTTCTTTGAAGTCTTATTTATCAACAAAGTAAAAACAACAACATCAGAAGCAGCAGTGAGAACACTGGGAGGTGTGACAATTGGAAGGTGAAGATTCCTGGAATCCCTGTAAAATTCCACAAATGAGACAGGGTAGAAGCTGAATTTAGAAGCAGCTTTTCTGAGGAAGTTGGCAGTTAATTGAATGTCAATTCAAATAACTACCATGTACTAAACAAAAAGAAAGGAAGTGTCTCAAAATAAACTTCTCCCTGATAACTAGTTGACTTTGCTTAGGGAGAAGTTTTTAGCATAAACATTCAAAAATACTGTGTTTGATGTCTTTGATGCCAAGAATTCTACCATCTTGTAGAAGCTTAATATGCATTTTACAGGTTCTTTTATTTTTGATTTCTCACGGTGTTGGCCAGTTCTTTCACTGAACTATTCATGGATTGCTTTTGTTTTAAAATGTCTTTTGAAGTTTAATAAGGGACATATTCTTCCAAAATGTGTGTGCATTGGGATATAAATGCCATCGGCATAGTGAGTGTTAACAAAAGCTTGTTTCTTTCCTTCAAAGGCATTATCAGAACAGCGCTACCAAACATGAACCGGGAAAACCGAGAGCAGTACCAAGTTGTTATCCAAGCAAAAGATATGGGAGGCCAGATGGGTGGATTATCAGGGACCACAACGGTGAACATCACCCTGACTGATGTCAACGACAATCCGCCTCGATTCCCCCAGAGTAAGCTCCCTTTAATAGCCCTTCTGCGGTACAAAAGCATCAGAATAAAAGAGTTAGGCAACAGCCATCTGGTTTAATTTCATGCAAATCTAGATTATGGGGCACACATGGACAAAAGGCTTATGCACTGGTTTATTCACTGTTATTGAAAGCAAAAAAATTAATGTTACAGGAGTGTGTACAGAGGGGAGGGAGAGTGTCATATAAAATGACTGCAGAAATTTGGGGCATTTCTCAGTATTGTGTGGCAAGTGGAGGCCAAGAAAGGAAGGAACAGATAATATGACCTTTAAGAACAAATCTTCCTTTTCTGTTACCTGGAGGTTAATAATTTCATAAATAGAATAATTGAAAAATAGATAAACTAAAGGATGGGAGATGAGCACATTTTATTCCCAGATTAAATGATGAAACAGGGAGCATTCAGCCCTCAGGCAGAAGCAGCTTAAAGAAAATCTAAGGAGCTTTGCAGATGCAAGACCACAATCTGATACACACTTACGTGCAGTTTAATTCCATAGAGATCTTAATTAGCAGTGGAAGAACTCCCTCTAGATCACCTTGAAGTTAGTTCATTTTCCTCAAAATATTTCAGGGAATGGTGAGAAAGATCTTGGAATCTTGTTTCAGAACATTTTCCTAACGATTTACACCATGAAACTCAACTCCTCTCCTGTCCCTACAGATTCATAAAGCCTAACCTGTGGGTGGTGGGGGGCAAAAGGCATCATCTGGTCTACAGATCTTATATTTAAGGTCTCATTGCTCTGAGATTCAGTTTGTTGCTGTAAGATAACATGAGAAACCAGGGCCTTCCAATGCAATCCATTGAAAGAGAAGTGAGCATGAAATTGCCTGTGTTCCTCTGCAGCAGTGGGCTTTTTCTGAACATACTCAGAAGAGGTCTGTTGCTGAGAAGAATCCCGCATACTCAAAGAACCTAGGAGAAGCTGTTTCTTTAAGCGGAGGCCCATGACTTGCTCAGCTCACCATATTAACCTTCCCTGATTCTGCCACTGCTCTGCCAACCTAAGGCAGAGAGAATGTTGGGAAGTAGGATGAGCTGGCAGATAACAGGGCTACCTGGACTGCTGATGCCAAGATGAGCCATTACAATCCAAATGCATATTTTGGGCATGGCTAACACTGGCTCATTGTTTTCTGAACAAAAAGAGTTCATTGCTTACCCCCACTCTCCTGAATTTCAGCGACATCGTCACTAGGCAGAAGCAAACCAGAACTCTGCTGGATTATGGCCAACCATGCAAAAAGTTAATGTATGGAGCACCACACAAGTGAATTATTTTGCTGACATATAAATGGTCAATAGAGTAAGATCTTTGGTTATACCAATATATATAGTCATGAGTGTGATTTAATATGTGAGTTGTATTCTAGACTCCACGCTTAGAAAAACTGGAAAAAATGACAGAGGGGTTTTTTGGGGGTGGGCATTCAAATGAAGACTGGCTTCTTGTCCCATTAGAAGCTGTGTATAAGAAGGAATTGTACTAGGTACACTGTGTCTATTCCCATTAGGACAAGTTACATCAGCCAGAGTTCTCTCTTATACACAACTGTTGAACCCGCAGCAGCTCTGTCCTGTTCGTATTCTTTTCAGTGCCAGGCTAAAACATTTTATTCACCCATTGTTTTAATGTTGATTAGGTTTTAATGTGGGTTTATTTTCTTAGACTTCTGGGATGCTCTGCTTTATATTACTTTGTTTTTTATTGTAAACCATCCCAAGACTGTTGAGGTTGGATGGTATATAAAAGCTTTAAAATGAATGAATGAAAGACAGACAGACAGACTGACAGACATATTATCCTTTCCACTATAATTCCAGATAGAGGAATATTGTTAAACCCTGAAATCCACCTAGGTCCATTGTAATTTGGAAAGTGGTTCACTTTTCAAAAGGAAGAGACAGTAAATAATTGTTCTTTTTTCCTTGAGTAAGTAGTGGGTATCAGGGGTGTTTCTGCATGTGTAAATGAGTGAAAGAACAGAAAAAAAAGAGCAAGGAGGAGCGACCAAGTAGGAGAGGGGAAGAAACATGATAAATAATTTCTCAGTTTAAACATTTCTCAGATGAAAGTCCTCTACTTTTCCAAACACACCCAGTCCCCACACAAGCCTAGTTGGCAAAGCCCTTGACCAAAAATTAACTGTGAAATTAAAAGTATGCATTTCTGCATTAAAATTCAAACTCTTCCACTGCATCACTTAACCAATAATATTTGTACACAATGTAGGCAACATGGGATATTTCTTTTTTTTCCCCTTCATGACTTGAACTTGGCATGAACAGGTCTTTTTGAACTGACTTTGACACTTGACACTTTAGAATAATTCCTTAGATTATTCTAAGGAACAGACACACAGAGAGAAATGCAGAAATATTCTAAGAGAAATAGGATTATAGCACCCCCAGCTGTCCAGTGGATTACTCTCAGCAAATTAATGATCTATTGCAGGAATTTAGTTGATGATATCTACCCTTAATGTGAAAAGTAATTATCACATTGCTTGACTTTTGAAGTTTCTTTGATAACACAGTGCAAAGCAGAGTATTCATGTCCAGAATATTTGTTGATTTACTTATTTAAATCTATCCAAATTCCAATGCATCTTCTGTGTCACCCTTTTGGGGAGAAATACCTTTTTTTAAAGTGTCAACTTTGTTAAAATTATTGTCATAATTCTTCCACACGCCTATTTGGTAAAAATAATCTTCTACATAGTTGTATAACTCTTAATGCTTAAGGATTCCTAGATAAAGGAATGTCAACAATGTTTCTAAATTTTACATTTGCTAAATGATTAGATATATCATACATGCAGTGAGAAAACACTAGGAAGATTGTATCTTGGTATACTTTGCAGGATCTCTAAGAATCAATTCATATGTAAGTTTCCATATGTAGCCTGCATTCCTCTATTTTTATTAACTTAAAAAATAACTTTGGGGTGTGATGCAGACAAAGATCATGGCGTACATTACCTTTTCCCCTCCTCAGCTTCAATCCATCTTATGTCAAATAAGAATGCTACCAGTGGAATCTTTTTTTAAAAACTATCATTATTACTAGAGAGCCAGTGTGGTGTAGTGGTTAAGAGCGTGGGACAGGGACTCAGGCGATCTGGGTTCTAGTCCCCGCTCAGCCATGGAGCCAACTGGGTGACTTTGGGCCAGTCACGGACTCTCAGCCCAACCTACCTCACAGGGTTGTTGTTGTGGGGATAAGATGGAGGAGGAGAATGACGTAAGCTGCCTTGAGCCCTTTGTAGGAAAAAGGCAGCATATAAATTGAAAAATAAATAAATAAACACATGGAGAGGAGTCATCAGGCAGGGCAGGTTTGGATTATGTCTGCACTTTCCACTGCTCTCCACTGAAACCCCACACAGCCTCTTAACATATCCTGAAGGTTTAGAGTGACTGCATATTCTTTAGAGTGCAAAACAGATGATTTGTCACATTGCTTTCTTTGGTGCTTTAACATTCTTTTGTGGCACAGTGGCTTAACCTGCTGTGCTGCTGGGCTGGTTGATCGAAAGGTCGCCGGTTTGAATCTGCCCCAGCTTCCAAACATAACCATAGTGATGTGGGATCAAGCCATGGAACAGTAGCTCTTGTGCCAGTGCAGTAACATGCCAAGTGGACTCAGGTTTCACAACGACCTTTCAGAAGATTCTTGGTAATTTCTGAAACTAACCATCACCAAGAGATGGAGAATTCATTCATTCAGTTTGGGTTTAAATATGAATATTGCTAATTTCAAAACACTATGTGAATCAGAACACATCTATCCTTCCAAATTTACATTTCCCTGAATTTTGCAATCGATTTTTTCTGGTCAGAATGGTACAAAAATGTATATGCTGGTGGATTTCTTCTGCTTGGCATATTTTGTTCCAAATAGTTACATGCACTGATATAGTATTACTCAATTCTGTATCTCACCGGATCATCAGTGGAAGTGAAATGCATACCTGTGATAAGTCTAGAGTACCTGTACTTTGGAAACCTGTTGCAGGAGGGAACAGACCTAAGCTGGGACTTTTGATCTGGGTCCTGGATTCAGAAATGAAAGTGGCAGAAGCAATGGCTCTATTATCAATGTTGTCACCCTATGTTTTGTTTGAAAAGTCCAGGCAGCGAAACTGCAAGAGGCCATAATGCATTATTAAGGCATTATTTTTTCAAAGTTAACTAGCAATGATTCTTCTCCATGCTCAAGATCTACCTATAATATTCACACATATCTAAGTCCTATTCAACAAATATTTTAGGGTCATGCTACCTAAAAAACTTTCTCCTACCATATGAGACGGGCTGAAATATGAACCTTTCAGTATGCCCCAACTTTGAAAGAGGCAAAGTTGGTGGGCACAGGAACCCCACTTGTGGATTGCCCTTCTCCTGAGGTTTCCATGGTTAATACTATTCTATGTTTCTTAACATTCAACATTATGTGTGAGGTTTCTGCCATTTTAGGTATTCCAGTCTCTGCTATTTTTTTGTACACCACCCTGACAGCCCCTCCATAATCACCCACATGTGTGATGCACAGAGACCACAACAAGAAAGGCAGGTTGCTTACCTGTAATTTTCATTATTTGAGTGGTCGTCTGTGTATTCACACAACCCACCCTCCGCCCTGCTGACTGCTATACCTCTTCCCCCACCACCACATGGGGGCTCGGTTGTGGAGGCCTCCAGCACCTCTATCCTCAAACATCTGGCGATGATGTGGTCTCCAAGGCAACTGAGGAAGTGGGCAAGGTCCCTCCTTCTTATCCTAAGACATGGAAGTGGCAGTGGGGACCCCTGCCCATTTTGCAATGCTGAATTATGGAAGTTTCTCTCTGCGTGCCAAAGCCCACATGTGTGAAGGCACAGATGGCCACTCTTAGAGCAACACTTACAAGTAAGTAACATGCCTCTTCCAGGTACTCATGTGTGACTCACCTCTCTTTCAGCTTGAGTGTTC